GGTCTGATCTTATCAACTTTCTTAACCACTAAATCCATCTCAAATGCCTTTGCTACTAAATGGGATCTATCTCTTTTGCATCCTTTTTCCATACCTAGAGAATTGTGATGTTGAACAGAATTAGGATCCATCGGCAGAATTAGGAGCCTCATTAACAAAATTCTTTTATCTATCATAGACTGAGCAGTTTCGAAATCATTGGACAAAGACCCTAAGCTAAAGCTGACGACTCCATAGGTTTGTGGCTCAAATCAAGATCCATTACTATAGCATTGATCTAATTATCTTCCATCAAGAACACACAACTAGTATACGCTGCCTTTCAAGTCTGTTTCCGAAAGGGGAAAAAACAAATATATAAACCATTGTTTTCTTGTATGCTATTATCATATGAAACTCTCAGTTCTTTTTGGTTCCAAGCAAAAATGTATTTCATGTATTATTTTGTTCCAACTTTTTGTGTAACATGCACATTTTCTCCATTTTAAACTAATTAACTAATTGACTTGACACAAATTTTAGAAAATAAAGAAGACTTTTAAATCGTGCCATCTTTAACTAAAGATATATTGAATGTGAAGATAACTAGTTTAATTGCACTAAATCATATTCAAGTCATATGGACATTGCCTCTTTTGGTGCTTTTTCATTTTTTTTGGAACACCCTCAAAACATATGAACAGGCAGAAAATGATTGATATATGTATACCACATAAGAAGGGAAGAAGGAGAATGAATCTCTAGAGCCATCCATTGATTGTTCCTCTTTGGTCATGACACCAGACTAAATTTGCACTCGAGTAACACAGAGTCAGCAACCTTCACAACCTATAAAGCACAATATGTAAGCAATCTGTATAAAGTCTTTTTACATATAGTTAAACATATGAGGATCGATCACCATGTTTGTAATATTGGAACATTTCAGTGTATGAAATGTTCAATCGTCTTAATCTATGTTTAGTAGAAACAATAACTCCTAAAAGATAAAATGAGAAGACGAGTGCTCCTTGTTCTGTACACTCCAAACATCTTTGCAAGCTTGCAGATAAATGAAGTATCTTTTTTTTGCTTGTTCTTGTCTAGTTACTAGGGATGTTACCTTGTAGACATATTAGCGATTGGATAAAGGAATAAAAAAATCACAAGAAGGAACACATTGAAATTACAAAACTTATAAAGGAATAAGAAATTCAAAATAGATAGAGTTAAACAAACATTAAAATGGAATTCACAAACCTTTTCAAAAATATGTATCTTCTACAAAGCAATAATCCTATGAGTTGGAATGTGAATTGCTCTCTGAACAACATTTCAGGCACCGGCACCTATGGCTCCAATGACCACCATCTCGTGTGAAGCACATCTAATAGATAACAAAATAGAAACAACAAAAACACCGAAATACATAGAAAGAACATTCGTAGGAACAACAAAATTATGGATAGAAAATCTACCCTCGGAAAGTTTAGAACTACTTAGGAATGATAAGAAAATGAATGGATCCCCATCAGCAACAAATATAGATATACTAGACAAATATGAATCAGCAATAAGAAGTGAATTTGGAGGTATGACCACGGATGTAAGAGAAATAGGCCAATGAGGGTTTAAGAATACAAAATTGGATCAAATCAGTGAATACAATCAAAAATTTGTATTGAGATCTATGAATATTGAGAGGAGAGGATAAAAAAAAGTAAGAGAAGTGACATTTTTTTACCTTAAAATGATTATCCCAATTCCGAATCTGATAAGCTAGTTGAAGTTTACAAAGTTGAAGTGGCGGTGAAGAGATGATGAGATAAATTTAGCCATCGGAGTGGTGATCTCTCAGAAGATGAGTTCTGAACGGTGAAGACATGGTGACAGAAATGTATCCATTGAAGAAGTGAGCTCTCAGAAGATGATTTCAAAGAAGAAGAGGAGCGAGTGGAGAAAATTAAGCTCGTTTTTATTTTTGGTGACACATTGAGCAAAGAGGTCAAATATCTTTAAAATGTAATTAACTAATTAACTAACTATGGGATCAAATTAATATTTTTAAAATTTTCTAATCTTTTATAAAATATAGAAAAAACACTTCTATAATTCAAACCAAATCATTTAAAAAGAAAAATCTTTTTATCTTTACTCCTCTCTTCTCTCTCTTCTTTTCTTCATCTTCTTCCTTAGAATTCGGAAATCCGTCGTTACTCTTTCTCTGCAGTCGCTACTCTTCCCCTCCAGTCCTCCATTACTCTCTCATCTTTCTAATATGTAATCGTGTTCGGCTAGAAATGACTAAGTTATTTTTTTGAAATACTATACAATTTTTTGAAGTTTTTTTCTTGGTTAATGAACAATAAAATGTTCTGTAGGTGTAAAAACTGAATAATCGACTTAACGGTGTGTATTACTTATCATTAAGAAAATCAGCCAACTCAAAAAATCCTTATTTTGAGGAAATGTATATGTAATGTTATCATTCAGTGAAAAGTCATTTTTTATTGCTGTTGTTGTTCTTTTTTTTTGGTCATTTTGTTGATATGAATTTAACATATTTTGCCACATTTTAGTGATATGTTGGTCATCTGTTGTCACATATGATTCAAATGTTGCAATAATCAGTACAGATGTGTCAACATAAGATGCATCTGCCGCTACATAAGATGTACATGTTGTGCAACTGCAGGTACATATGTGGCAACATAATGTTAATTTATCGCAACAGACTATCCATCGGTTGCAACTTACTGCTAATATTATCTTAATGAATTGTAAAATTGATATGTTGGTTAGCTGCTGCCACATAAGATTCAAATGTTGCAATAATCTGTATAGATGTAGCAACATATGATGCATCTGTCGCTACATAAGATGGATATGTTACGCAACAGTAGGTACATATGGGGCAACATAATGTTGATTTATCGCAACAGACTATCCATCGATTGCAACATACTGCTATTATTATTTTATAATGAATTGTAAAATCTCAATATTTTTTTAATTTACCTTGTAGATGAAATGATTCGAGAAGCTTCATCCATGTCAACAACTCAATCTTCTAACATGAAATGCTTTTTTTGTCTATGCTTAGAATGTGAGCAGCAACATGATTATTTTATTAGTCGTGTTAAAAAACTCACTGATATTTTTAAGGAAATGTCTCATAATATTGATGTGCAAGGATCCAAGAAGACTTCACAGCATTTGAAATGTAGGAGGTTGAGAAAATCTATTTCTCAAACCCTTTATATAATTATTGAGAAGAAAGAAAAGGAGAAGAAGGCAAAGGAGGAGAAGGAGAAGGAAAAAGAGAAGAATGCAAAGGATGAGAAGGAGAAGAAGGCAAAGGAGGAGAAGGAGAGGGTGAAGAAGGCAAATAAAGAGAAGGAGAATATGAAGAAGGCAAAACAGGAGAAGGAGAAGGAGAAGGAGGAGAAGAAGAAGACAATAAGAAGGAGAAGGAGAAGCAGAAAGAAAAAGCGAAAGCGAAAAAGAAAGGGAAGAAAGTCGAAGTTGTCAGTTGTGATGTGAAGAAACAATATCCATTTGAAGATTTTAACATTGACGGCGAGGGTCCTACTGAACTAATGTCATCCTTCTCGCAATGGATAAAAGAGGGTCTTTACAAGCATCATGCAAAAAAGTAAGTAAAATAAAGCAAGTAAAGCTGTTCAACTATTATTAGAATTTCTTCTTGTTGTCCAATATATAATGATTTATAATGACTACAAATTTACAGAGGAAACAAGGAGGATCACTACTTAGCTGATTTCTCAAAACTTGAATTTGACAAACTTAATTTAGTAGTTGCATTTTCCATGAATAAGGACTGGTTCTACGTAATGTCTCAACCCAATAGGTACTGGAATGATGAGGTAAATCTATGCTCACATTTATATGTACTGTTTAGTACATGAATATATACAATTAAATTGATACACTTGGTTGATGCATGTGTGCAGTATGTAGATGTCATATTTTACTATTTGCATAAGAAGTCGAAGCAAAAGATTCAGTCTGAATATCAATATACCTTCACTAGTTGTTTTTTTCAAAACATACATTGAAAATTCTAGTGAATATGAGGATAAAATCATTGATATAATGAAAGGGTATGCTATACCTTCTGGAATGCCTTGGCTCTTGACGAATGATGTTTATGTCACTGTAAATAGTAATGGGAAATTCCATTGGGTCTTGGCAGTCGTAGCATTGAAGGAACAGTGTATAAAAGTGTATGATTTCACGTCCTCAAATAGGTTTATTAGAAAACTATCCTCCGAGATTCAAAAGATGGCTACAATGTTGCCAAAGTACCTTGAGTTGAGTGGATTTTTTGAGAAAAATGAGTGAACCAACTGACCAGTTCTTAAATGTTACCAAGGAAAGAACAAATTGTCACCCATTTGAAGTCAGTCATGTTACTGGTACTTCCCAACAAGAAAGCAGTAGTCTGTAAGTATCACAATATTATTTTGTCTTACGACTATCGAAATGTGATGTTACTATATTTTCTTATTGATGATATGCCATGCAGAGATTGTGGAATTTTTGTTGTTGTATACGCTGAGTATTTGAGTGATGGATTACAAGTACCATCATGTGAAATCATTGTTGACACCCTTCGCTTGAGATATGCTTCACTCCTATGGAATTATGGGATTGTAAAGGCTCAAAATGATTACGTTAGTAATAATGAAGACCCAGATATGCGTAGAACACAAAAAATAATCTAAGATCGATGAGAATATTTAGTTTACAACCATTGATTAGATATGTGGTTATGTATATCATATCATTCTGAATTACCTTTTTGTTGATAAGTTGTATAAAATAATTGGTAAAGTGTTAATTAAAATGTAATTTCGATAGTAATAAACACGACAAATTTATATGTTGCAACATTTCATATATATGTAGCAACAGATAGTATCTATGTAGCAACATATAGTAATATGTTGCGACAGATAGTATATCTGTAGCAACAGATATTATATATGTAGCAACAGATAGTATATATGTAACAACAGATAGTATATATGTAGCAATATATGTGCACAGTTTGAATTGTCAAAATAAAAAAAATTAACGGCTTTATTTTATTTTCCCTCTCTCCTCTCTTCTCTCTTCTCTCTTCTATAAATGTCGTTTCGTATTCCACAAGATTTATTTATTTATACTAATTTCTCTTCTATATATGTAATATCTGTAGTAATAAACACGAAAAAATTATATGTTGTAACAGTTAGTATATATGTAGCAACAAATATTATATATGTAGCAACAGATGTCACAGTTTGAATTGTCAAAATTAAAAAAAAATGAACGATTTTAATTTTCATTTTCTCTCTCTCTCATCTCTCATCTCTCTTCTATAAATGCCGTTTCGTATTTCACAAAATTTATTTATTTCTTCTCTACTGCCAACTTCTCCTTTTTCTCTTCGATTCTCTTAGTCCTTCCTTCACAGATCATCTTCTACAGCAAGGCGGCTTTGTCCTCATAATTTTTACTTTATCGTTGATATATATATCTTCTCAGGTAAGGTAACATTTAATTAGGATTTGAAATTCATGTGCTCATCTGCTTATTGCCCTATTTTGACTTATGGTTGTAGCTCATGTGTGTGTGGCTTTCAAATATTTTATTTTTATACTTGCAGGTACAATGGCTCTTGTCAAAAGAAAAGTTGATGTCGATACATCTGATCAAATAAAGACCTAGAAGAAGGCTAGGTCTAAAATTCATAGGAAGAGGAATGAAAATACTACACTTTTAGAAAAACTTGCAACTGAAGTGGTTTCTTCTTCTTAAACAGAAGTAGAATTTTGTCAAAAAGATTATGAACAAAGACAAGTAGTGGATGAAGAAGATGGAAAACAAGAAGTTGAGGAACAAGGAAAAATAAATGAAGTTCAGGAAGAAGGGGAAAATAAAGAAGTAGTAGTTTTGGGGCACAACAAGAAAAAATAAATGAAATTCATGAAGAAGAACAAGAACTTCATGTAGAGTTCAATGCTAGTGGGGATTATGGGATTAAAATCATCAATGCAGAAACTTTTCCTGTGCATCTGCAGCCTGATGCTAATGGTGACAACATCATTAGGTCAATCTTGGAAAGACCTTTCGTCAAATTCAGGGATATCATCAAGAGAAATGAATTGAAAGATTTTTTCAGAAATAGTTGTTTTGGTCGTTTTCTTGATTTACCCATTGATCCACTTCCACGTTTTTAAATGACCATCGTGTATGAAATTTTGAAAAGAAGGTTCATTTTTGAAAATACCAATAAGATGGATGAGATTCTAATTAATTATTGTGGCATGCCAGTTTTCTTTGACATTTTAGAGTTTGCCATAGTTACAGGGCTAAAATATCATCCTCCTGTTGAGACCATCCCTGAATACATTGTTAAAACAGATACACGACGAATGACAATAGTTAAAGAAATAGTAGACTTAGGAAAACAATCAGTGCCAACTGAGGAGTAGGACTTGATGTCCCTTGTTGGCAAAAGCTTTAAAAATTCTGACTTATTATGTTTGTTGGAACGGGAGGATACATCAAGGAAGAACAAGGAGTCATTGTGCTTACTTTGGTTTACACATAATATTCTTTTGCCGAAGGATCCGGAAAACAACATACTTTTAAAGTATGTCAATTTCTGTCAGGATATTGAAGCTTTCAAGAACTACCGTGGGGTCATGAGAGCTTTCATCCAACTGTCGACTACATGTTGAGGCCTTTAGGAGAAAAGATCAGTAACTTGTTTGGTTTTCCATGGGCTTTCATGGTAAAGCTGAATGTTTTTAATCTTTTTATATTATATTAAGTAATAATTCAACATTTTATTATTGACATGTTTTTCTTTTTTTACAGGCCTGGGCATTTGAAGTTATTTCTTATTTGACCCACCAAGTAATTTAAGCAGAAAGAGATCGTCCCCAAGGATGATGTGACGGTTGATGGCAAGAACAAAAACTACCAAAGAAGGGCATATTTCAGATCTTTTTAACCCCTCCTTTTGATGCAGTAAGTTATTATTCGTATATTACAGGCATATGTTGCTACATTTGTGTGACATGTTGCTACAAATGAATTGGTTGTCGCAATATGTGTCACAAATGTTGCTACTGATGAATCATCTGTCACAACTTATGTCACATGTCGCAACACATGACTCATCTGTAGCAACATGTGACACAAATGTTGCTACAGACGAATCATGTGTTGCGATATGTGCCACAAATGTTGCTACAGATGATTCATCTGTAGCAATATTTGTAGCACATGTCGTAATAGACAATTCATCTGTAGCAACATTTGTGACACATGTTGCGACAGACAATTCATCTGTAGCAACAAAAAAATCTTATTGATGACTCATTTTTACTATTTTAGGTAGTCCATTCATAGATTACCCCAACAGAAGAGGAATTGCAAATGTCATATCTAATAACTCTAGGGTTAGTTGAAAGCATTTTTGATCTTGTTGTGGATTGAGTTAAAATGATGTTGGCTGGAGCAACACCCATAAAAAGAAAGAGAGTTCCTAATGAAGTCAGTAATGAATTAGTTGTTTTTGATGTTGATGATGGTGTTGATGTTGATGATGGTGCTGGTGTTGGTGTTGCTTCTGCTACTTGTGTTGGTGCTGCTGGTGCAGGACAACATGAAGGGGATACCTCTTGTAGATGATGTTGTGGCTTCCTCTATGAGAAGTGTAAGAAACATGATGAATATTCTATAATGTATTTACAAAAATTGAGTGAAGCTGTCAATAAATTTAAAAACAAGAGGGGTGTGAAGGACATTGCATCAAAGAATGTGCCGCATGCATGTACTCCAAAGTCCAATTGGAGAAAAGAATCATTTTCCAAGGAAATGCAAAATTTGAAGAGGAAGATGTTTGGAGAAATTCCAAGGGCCGTAATGGAGGAAGAGGTGACGGAGTATTGACACCCAATTTTAACCGACCTTTAACCATTTTTAGGATTATATTCGACTAAATACCTATTTTTAAAATTTACTTAAAGTTTTGAAGTTTTAGTCGATTTTTCTCAAAAAATTATATATTTTAGCATCGTTTACTTTATAAAATTATTATAAAAAATATTTCTATTTTAAATTTTTTAATGAATTTCAAATGTTTTTTTTTAAAAAATGATTTTCAATTATATAAATATTTTAATATATGTAGTATTTTAATTAAATAATAATTTCTACACTTTCCTTAAATTTTAAATTCTAGCCTATTCTGTCATAATTTCTTTCAATTATAGCCACTTGAATTCGAAGTTATTTCAATCATAGCCCCTCTTTCATTCCAATTCTAGCCAAATGTTGTTGCAATTTTAGCCATTTTATATCCAACCAATCTGATTTCAATACATATCATCTTTTAATCTCATCCATCTATTTTATTAATCGAATCCTAGCCCTTCATTTCAAATTAGATCAACGATTGTGATTTAATCTTCTATTCTCTCAACATTAAAAGACCCCAAAACCTAAAATTCCAACCCATTCTTCTCCCTCCTCTTCCTCTCCAGCCGCCTCCCCTCTCCCTTCTCTCTCCCCCCTCCTCCATTTTTCCGGCGAGGGAGACAACCGGACGGGAACCCAAGCAGCCGCTCCTCTTCTCTCTCCCTTCCAGCCCCCTTTCCCTCTTTCCGTCTCCCTTCTCTCTTCCCCTTCCCCACCTTTTTTCTCTTCTCCGACGAAGCAGCGATCCATTGGTCTCCCCCAATCGCCGACGATCTCTTTTCGCCCTTTCCCTCTCCTCTCCTCCCCTCTTCTTCTCCTTTTCTCCTCATCTATCCAGCAGCCTGTGAGAAAAACCAGCAGCAACCGGCAACGCCAGAAGCAACTCCAATCAGCAGCCGGTGCTGCTTCATCTTCCTCCAGTCGCTGCTCTGAGCAGTGAGTTCCAACAACCTGCAACAGCTGGACACCAGCACATCAGCTTCGAGTAGAGAGCCACCGCGAGGACAACTATCCAGGCAGTAGCTCCAGCGCCTCCCGCCAGCAAGTAGTCCTCTCGTCCTCTCCCTTTTCCACCGAAACAACAGACAACAACTCCGGCTCTTGTCAGCAATGACACGAAATTCAAACTTAGTGTTTGAGAAATGGCGGATCCGAACAAATCCGTCCAGGTTTGTTCTAGTTTATTAATTTTTATTCATCTCTTAATACTCTTAATTGTGGTCCTTGGCATGCTCTTGATTTCTATATAATGTATTTTCTATGCATATATACTTTATATGAGATTAACAGATGCCTTGAATGCATCCTAGAAGGAGCTAAGTTGCTATCTATATGATGTTAAACATGTTTTGTTGTAATTTGCTGATGTTTGAATATTCCCATATCTCTATTATTGGTTTCTCTGTAATATGCTGATTTGTAGAAAGCATTAGTATGTTCTTAATACGGAATTGCTGATCCTTGCTTTTAAATCGATTACCCTCCTCAAACTAATATAATGTCAATTTGTTCCCCAACTTTAGCTAATTAAGTGGTGCCTATGGATTTGTTCTTGATGTGATAATTTTGATTACATTTCTTAAATTACTTATCAACTTGCTAATTTGCATGATCCATTTGTTGAACTTACGCAAGTGATGCAGTAATAAGCAACATGTCCGTAGTAATGGTAGGTTATGTAATCTTTAGAATATTGGTTGAAATTATATTTTATGTTTCTCCCTTAAATATTTACTTTCCTTTTGTCCAATGATTTGTAATTGATAGCTAAATAACTAATATATCTTGTCTTATTTAAGTTGTCGACATATTTTGGCATGTAAATTTTGGTTAAGTATTTCTAGAATTTGACTCATATTTGACAAGAATGTCTACTAATTTTGACTCTTCTTTATTTGGAAAATATATTTTATTTCTATTTTTTATTCTTACTTGTTTATATTTGGTAATGATATTTTAATTTTTTTTTGATTTTGGCTCCTATTTATTTAAGGAAAAATAATATTACTCTCTTTTCTTTTCTTTTTTATTTGGTAAAAACAATTAAAATATTTTCTGATTTTTGGATCTCCTTTAAATTAACCGGTTAGTATTCGGAATTAACATTTAAATTATTTTTGTATTCATACATTTGTGTGAGCTCATTGTTCTATTTCTTTGTTATGTATAAGTTGTTAAACAATTGCATAATGTCTCACCTTGACTAATAAATGTGATTACTTGTGTAGTTATTTGATTGCTTTGACAGGTTTCAAACTTGAAGTTCAAGTTGAAGATTAACCATGAAGAAAGATTTATTTGCTTATTTGAATCTATATTTTTTCTTTCTTATTTTATTTATTCGAATGTTGTAACATTTGTAAATCTAAAGATCATATATATAAATTTATTTGGGGTATCGTCTATGGGAGGGGGATTTACATGCCTACTTGTTTTTTGTAATTTTTTTTAAAAAGTTAGAAATCATGCCTATAGGTTTATCTTTAACCACCTAAAATTATTGTTTGTAGGTGTTATAATCTAATCAATTTTCAATTTGCTTGACGCTTTGTTAATAAGTCTAAAAAAATAACTAGATTCCATTAATTTTTGAATGCTAAAATCAAATTATAATAATTTAGTAGGCTGATTAGGTGTTTTAAAAATGTTATAACTTTTAGCATTATCTTGTCACGTAGAAACCAGGCCTAGGGATCAATTTATTCATATCATTTAGATTTACAAAATCATGCATGCATGTGTTACTAAAATTAGTTAATATTTGTCCTTTTTTTAGATTTCTGCACTCATGATGCAATATGTTGTTCTCTTAAAATAATAGTGATAATAAATTCAAATCATTTCATGCATTTAACAAACTACTTGACTTTTGAATATTTCATATCAAAACCTTAGCATTTAATAAATTTACCACCTTAATGTTCTACTAGTTTTTTTTTCTTACTTACAAAGTTTTGCAACATAATTTTCTTAAGAGTCATTATTCAATCATCCTTTAAAAATTTTGATTAATTATGACATTGTTTATTTTGAAAATAAATTATAAGGACTATCTCCTAACCTATCGTTAGTGGGAAAGTCAAAGGAATTACGAGGTCTAGTTCCAATTTTAATACCGACGCGTCCCCGGAAGTACCACTTACCCATGAATTTCAAAAGAAATTATTTGTATTTATATGTAAATATTTATGTGCCTATATGCAAATTAAATCTTTTAAATCATTTTTCAAAAAATATAAACTATTGTGTTTTTAAGACCGACCTCAAATTAAAAATTGTTTATATGGTGGAGGAGCGCGATCAACAATATCGTGGTATCATCCCTATAAAGAAACAAACATTTTTTTTGAATAAAAAATTCATATTCAAAACTTGCTCAATTTTTAAAACTTTACTTTCGCACATTTTAATTGCTTAATATTTGCAAATTTTGTTTATAACTTAGTCTCATATGCTCAAATAAAAATAAAACTTGATTGTTTATTTATTGCTATCACGTAGCCTTGCCTGCTCAAATTAAATAATAAAATAGTATTAATTATTTTTTTATATTTGTTATCACTTAGCAAGATTAAATAAATTAATAATGAAGTGACCTTGATTGCTAATTGTAACCCCCACATAGATTGCATGAGATACGTCCGGGACCCACATTTGTGGACCTCGAGGGATGCCTAACACTCTCCCCTTGAGGTAATTTGAACCCTTACCCTAATCTCTGGCTCGCTGACCTTAGCTAGACTTAGTTAGGTTAGATAGGTACCCTAACACGCCTTAATTCGTTAGGTGGCGACTCCTCAAACTTAAAATCCCAAAAGAGTTGTTAGGTCGTGCACAAAACCCATTTTCTGCGAAAATGGGGCACGACACGAAGTATAAAAAGGTTAATATTTATAAGCGTCCCTCTGTAGCTGAAAAAGAAGCAGTAATTAAGGTGACCGGTGCAAAAGATATTCAAATGGAATACGACATGCATGTTTTTACCGGTCAAGATTTCAGGAGCATGACAAGCCTAACAGTTTGGTGAAAAGACTAGTAATTCTACTTTTTAATAACTATTTCGTATGTCTTTTCACTGAATACTCTTTCTAACTATTTAATATTATTTTTTATTTCAATATATTGACGAAATCCTTAATTTCATGCTTCAGAGGCATTGGAAATACCCGAACTACTATGGTCCCAGGGATAGAATCTGGATCTCAACTTCTGCATAAAATTTCTACATAGATATAATCAAATGAGCGATGAGGAAACAAGGTCAGGTGGTTAAAGCATGAATCAGTTACTAGATGACTTTGTATGTGATGATGCTATGATTGACTATATCAGGGGTATTAGGACAACTCCTGGAGGCATGGATTGGATTGACGCAAAAAGGATTTTAACAGTCATGAACGTTTCGAGTAATCATTTCGTGACTGTCGAGATTCTCTTGCACGAGGGATTGATCAATGTTTATGAGTGCAACATGGTGGTTACGGAAAATGATAAGTTTTTCACACTCATACAATCTGTGTTCGAGTTGCTGCCTAAATTGCTGAATCAGAGTGGAATAATGAATCATTTGCTAGAGAAGTTGCTCACTCAACCATGGTAGTTTAACGGTCTAATAGAACCCTATGGTACGAAATGCAAGTGGAGCAGCGTGCGGGTCATATTCCATTGCATTCATTGAGCACTTGACTAGTCGAACAAAATTGCATCCACCCAATTCACTGTTATGTGACAATCTAATTAAACGGATGCAATATATTTGGGCTAATGGGATACTATCTCAATGCTTAAAGCCTTCACATTATGCTTGTAATTAAAGACAATGTTTAATTTTCAAATATGTTATTTTATTTTATCTTAAAGACAATGTAATTAAAGACAATATTTATTTTATCAATTTGTCTATCACAACATTTGACATGTGTCGCTACAGATGATTCGCCTATAGCAATATTTGAGTCGGATGTTTCTACAGATGATTTTATGTAGCTATATTTGTTGCATATGTGCTACAAATGATTTTATGTAGCAAAATTTGAGTCATACGTTGCTACAACTGATTATATGT